AGTTTTGATAACCAATTGAAATGAAGTTCATTAAACAACTTTTAATATTTTCTTTCATTAAATTAATTTAAGTTTTAATTAACTTCCTAAAGTAATTTTTGAGAAATTTGTGGAATTTTTAGACATTTTTTTAAGGACTCCTTTTAAAAAAATTTTGGGAAATTTTACTTTAAAACTTTAATATTAAAACATTTCAGTTTTCTTAATTACTTTAATTTTTTGCAATTTTCACACAAAAAAATTCTTCACTTAACACTTTTTTTTTTTTTTTTTTTACACACTTTTTCAACAGAACACACATTTCACATTACATACAGTTTACATTTTATTCATAATACCACTTCACTTTATTTTCCTTCAAGCAAAATTACATCTCTTGATTGGCTCAGTTCTTAACTCCCTAAATAATTGATATTACTACCTTTAGGATTTTTAATTTAATTTAATTTTTAATATTCATGTTTACAAAAAATTTTTTACTATAACAAAGATAGCAGCTTGACACTCAACTTTACCTACATAAGCGCCATCTATATAATTTGAAGAACACACTTACTTCTCTTTTACAACACTTTTGCAGACCTCAACACTCATATAGTAGGTAAGTTAGAATTAAAAAACTTACTATTTACTTGCTTTAAGTATTTTAAAAATTTTTTATGTAGTATCTAAGTATTTTCTAAATATGAAATTATATTTTTAAAATATATTTGTTTTTAAAAATTGTGAATTAGTTTTTTTTTTGTTTCTTGTTGGTTTATATGGATTATGTCTAGTTCTTTTTTAGTTTCTTTTTATTGATATGCAAATTCGTGTAGGGGAGGTTTTCTGTAGACAAGGGTTTCTAAAATACATTGGTTTCTAGATTATTTTTTTATTATTTTTTATAAAAAATTAATTTAAAAAAAAAAAGTTTAATTCTTGACTTTACTTGCTTGTTTCTCAAAAGACTTCATTAGTATTTTCCTTTTTGAACTTTAATTCTTAAATGTTAATTTCTAAGGAAACCACTTTATTGGAATTACTTTTGGTTTTGACTTTTACCCTTGCCTGCATGAATGACGAAACACGAATTGAATGATTGGAGAGTTAGGTTTGGAGGCAACTTCCCCTTGATAAGTCTGTCTCCTGCCTACTCAACGGTCATTCACATACGCATTTTTTTAAAAAAAAAAGTTTAATTTAATTTTAATTTATTAAATTAGTAAATTTATTTTCATGGATTAATTTTGCACTTGATTTGCTTATGCTTCTGAATTTAAATGATATTGTAGATTAGTTCGAGTATTAAATCTTTTATATGTTTGCACATTTTTTTAAAAAATTATTTTGTTTTTTTTTTTTTCTTTTTTAGGATTTAAATTTGCTTTTTTACTTTTATACATATTTGTTAAAAATTAGATTTAAATTTGTTTTAAATATATATATATATATATTGCCATTTGCACAACCTACTGGGTATTTGTATTAAAAATCCACACACACAAAAGTATTCGATAAAAAAATCGGTTACTATTTTAATTATCAAAATTTAAGTTACAGTACTTTTAATTCTAAAATTTAATGCGAAATTTGGGCTTGTTTAAGGAAGATCAATTTCTTTATGTCTGGTCTTATTTCATTTAGTTTTAATTGCAAGTTAGGATCCACTTTTAATTTTGTTGTGCAATTATTTTTCAAATACAACAAGGAAGAAACACCTTTTTCACAGAAATAGGTTGCGCAAAAAGGCAATGAAAATTTAATAGCTTCACTTAAAATGCCTTTTAATTCTTCTTTTTTTCGGTTCAACCAAAAGTTTGCAAGTGTGCTATTTTTGAAATCTTCAGCTAGGGTATGATCATAGAAAATTTCTATCAATTGTTTTTTTCTTCACGAGATAAAATTTTAGATACATTTGAACAAAATGGATTTCTAATCCAATTTTCGTTTTCATAATTCTCAGGAAAGTACATGTTGAAAATATCTGAAATGAAAATGAGAATTCTTAATTATTATCCAATTCTTTGATTATTAGATCATGTTTTTTTTTATAATTGCAATTATTTTATTTCTAATGGTAAACAAATTAACACTTTGTCCTCATAATCCTTAATTTATTCAATTTAACTTTCCATAAACATCAGCTAAATATGCCAACCAAAATTTCCTAAATAAAAATTTTTGCAATTCAAATATTTAATCACTGAGGAAAATTTGAATTTCCAATCAAAGTTAAAAAAGAAGATTTAAACTTTGTCTCTGGATAACCACCTTACTTTGGAATGTAACAAAAGCATTTCATGTTCACTGCCCATCTCTTGACATAAAATCATAAATATTCTTAAAGTTCGGCTTTTAATAAATAAATTAATAATAAATAATTTTTTACAATTTTCACAGTTTGATTCAAAATGATTTTCAGGTTTCCAGGGATTTTTTTGGCTACTAAACCTTCATGATGAATGGAGCAGTGAGTAAATTTAGATTTAGGTGCTACATTTTTTTTTGGACAAATAACACCTGAATGTTTCCCTGTTAAAGCCTGAGCTCTGTCACTGAATACAGCAATGCACTTATTCCAAGAAATATAATTCTCAGACATAAAATTGTCAATTACATTGAAAATTTTATTTGCAGTTGTTTTATCGCGAAGTGATGCAAAAAATAAATACTCTTCAGTAATTTGTTTATCTTCTTCGAAAGGTATGTAAACTGATAATTGAACAAAGTTCGTTATATCAATATTTTCATCCAACTGCAGTGCCAAATACTCACTGTGTTTTATTTTTTGAATAAGTGTCTCTTTTATAGAATTTGTCATTCTATAAATTCATCCACTTTATAACAGAATAACCTTTGATAACAGAATATTATTACATTCATTAGCCACTTTTCCATTAAATTATGTTAAAATGATATCTTTAGCTGCCGGTAATGTAAGGTTTTCTGCATTAGTGTGAGCCTGCCCAGTCATGGCAATTCTTAGGCTTATTAGGTAACTAGCTCACAAAGCTTTTTCACTTGAAGTCACAAAACCTTTCATTACTTGTTTACTATTTTTGAACTCCGATAATTTCTTAAAGTTTTCTTCAGATTTATCCTTTAAACCGGCATTCTTAGATTCAGGATGTCTTTTAAGAAATGATGCTTTCGAACTTTGATTGGATAATAGTTCACCGCAAACAGCACATTGAGGTTGAGGGTCCATTTCATCTCCATTCCAAGAAAACCTAATGATATCCAACTTTCATTATATTTTCTATAAACAGTTTTTCTTTTCTTTTCAATATTCTTAGTGCTAGTAGGTTGTCTTGGATCCATCAACTGTGAATCTTCACTTTTCCACCTGGTCAATCTTAGCCATCGTTTTGAAAATCTAGCTATGTTTTATTATTTATCACAGATTTTTAAATGCACAATATATTATGAGTTCTTCAAAAACAAATGATGATATTCTCAAATTGCATAGAAAAGTAAGGAATACAAAGCAATGAGAAGAAAAAATACCTGCTGTTAGAGACAGAAAATCCATGTAAAATATGCTTCTAATTGAAAATCAATATGAGCCCAGAAATGGTGGCGACATAAAGTGTAGACATTCTAATAAATCGATCAACTCCAAAGGAATTAATGAGATACTATTATCTTTTTATAGGAACTTATTTTTATTTCTTGTTAAATACAACATCCATTTCTATCTCTCCTTTTAAAAACATCATTTATGACAAATTTTGCTATATCTATGGCTAAAAGAATATTTGTGAAAATATTTTGCCAATATCCTCGAGCAAAGTTCAGATCACATAAATCTATGAGGGTTATAGAAAAAAACTTTAACAGGATGTTGGAGTATTTAATTTTTTAATTTAACAGTTAAAAATATTTTGTTCCTTTGCATACCACCAGTGGTACACGTTGAGAACCGCTGATCTAGACCAACAGCAGTACTGCCAATACACCACAAATAAAGTAATGTAATTGAAATAATATAAGAAATCATCAAAAAGAAAAAAGATAATGTGAAAAAGGACATGACTTCAAATCATGGACAAAAAAAAAAAAAAAAAAAAAAAAAAAAAAAGAGATGAGAAAAAGGACTTTTAATATTTTTTTGGAAAGATTAACCACTTCAACACTTTCCTGAAGACAGACTGGTGTCACTGGGGATCAGTGATTAGATATACTCGTAGGAGTTAAATAAGGCTTGGAACATTATCCTCAATACAGACTTGTCACTTCATATTTTCCAACCCTTAGAATGTAAAAAAAAAAAAAAAAAAAAAAAAAAAAAAAAAAAAAAAAGGAAAAAAGGAAATTTTGGCCTAATACTCTCTTCAGAAGAGGATTGTAGCAGGATCATAAAAAGCAAAGTTCACTTAAAAAGATGGGATATAGGAAAGTACTTTAAGCTGACAATGGAATAAGAACTACTGCTTGTTTGAAAGCATACTTTTAGGGGATCATCTTTGCTATGTTTCAGATAAAAGGCTTGGGAACACAAAATAAATTTTTTTGTATGTGTCTTTTTCTTAGGATAATGCTATTCAACAACTTAAGCATGACAAGTAGGCAGTTCAGATAGATTTGGCATGAACTTCTAAATAGGTCTTGATAGCTGGTCAAAGGTTGAAAAGAACAATTCTATCACAGATTGAGGCCTGTTTCAGAGGCCAAATGTTTAACTTTGAAGGGGGAAAAAAAAAAAAAAAAAGTAGCAAATATTTGAGTTTTATACAACAATGAAATGCTTAATCATATAAGCATTCATACCACGTGAATTTGAGATAGGACTTGGTGCATTTTCTATTTTTATTCCTTTGTGTTCTTGTAGTATCTTCCTTCATATCATATTAATTATGAATAGAAATCTCATTATCTAATGAACATTAGAATTCAAATTGTCAATATCATACACAATTTCAGTTTACAAGCAGGCTATAGACAAGAATAATTATAGCAATTAAATCTAGTGCTACTTATATTATGTCAATACTTATTCTATAAAATAAAGTACTCACAAACAGATTTGTTGGTCTCACTAAGCAACTGTAAGCGACCAAATGCAAATTTGTCAAAACTTTCATGCTGCCACAAAGCATACACTAGAAAGGATAATATTAATTTTCAAAAAATTAGCTGCCAAATTATTATATATAGGCAATCGTTATATATACATACACATTTAAAAAACAGAATTCTTTACAGAACATATGATATTATAAACACTTATTAATGAAAACTTAGCATTGATTATTAATGCTGCAGATCAGCATTAGTTGGATATATCACATTACATATATTTAAAATTATAATTTAGTTAATTATTAAAACAACATTAAAGAAGAGGTGCTTGTTATTATCTACAGGGTGAGTCACTTATAACAAACAGATCACCACTTTGACAATGCAGAAGATTCAGATACTACTTTAAATTAAACTGAAGTAAATTTGCACCCAACAAGGATCTGGTTCTTAGTGACTTACAACCCACTAGTCACCAGAGTACTATGATATAGTAAATTGAGATAGATTTTTAAATTACAAAGAAATAGGAGCATACAATTGTCTGTCAACCTACACCGATGAGCTACAAGTTAACAGTCACTCTATGAACACCTACAGGCTGAGGTTATTGTACCAGACTAGTAACCAATGAGGTCACTGCTGTGGGTGATACAATAAATTTACTTAAATTTTAAAATGCAAATGAAGCAATAGTGCTTGCTCAGGTTTCTGGGTCACTGGTAATTTACAGGTTGAAGTCAACCTATAGGTTACCGGAATGCATGACTGAACTGGCAACACTTGCAAAACACGTTGGTGATTAGGACTTGATGGTATAATGCAATGTAACACTCCAAAATTTTTGAAAGACTCTGCTGAGGAAATTTCTGAAGGAATTTTCCAACTATTGGACAGATTGCAAAAACTCATACAGGGAAAAAAAAAAAAAAAAAAAAAAGGTGCTAAGTGATATTCTTATGCTTTTACACGGCTTCATTTGTATTGATTGTAAATAAATAAAAATTAAAAATAACTGTAGCACATTTCGTATAACTTAACTTATTGGATGAAGTATAAAATGTGCAGTGAAATATAGTAAATTTTTTCTGGAAAAAAAGAAGTTTAACTTATTTATTACTTGACCTTTTAAGCTAGATAAACTAAATTATTAATAAAAATATCTTTCTATCTACAATTTAGTTTAATTAATTATTTTAGTTTTAAAGTGTATGTAAAGATATAAAAATAGAAATTTGGGATCATTCATGACATTTTAATAGAATATTTTATGATAAGTATGCAAGTTTTAATTAAAAAACATAACTGAGATTTTGAAATTATGAGATATTTAAAGAAAAAGGGGGGAAAACTTAAGAATAGTTGAACATTTGAAGGAAAATTGGGAAGGAATTTTTATTTTAGCCAGTTTACTGATTTACCTAATTACTAATTCAGGTCTAACTTGACATAAACTCTTTGCTTCAGAAACAGTTTTATCATACTTACATATTTTTAAAATAACTGCACATGAATTAAAATAATACATACCAGTATTATGAGGACCAAAAATAGATGTGAAACAGGCTATAAGAACTGAATTTGAGTTTTTCAATTTGAGTGAACTCAGTTCCATAGCAGCTTTGAGTCTTCCATCCCAAATATCAGTATGGCTGTTCATATTAAATATTTGCAATTCATAAACACCTAAAACAAATTTATCTATATAAAATTCTTACAAGGAAATAGATAGTTATTTATATGAAATATCAAAACTGCTACTCAAGTATTCCTTAAAAGATAATCTTTAAACAAACCTGATTTACTAGGTAGAGTTATTATACTCCAAGGTAGAAGCATCATAGTAGCATTCGTTTGACTAATCCACATAGGTGCAACTTTGCTTATGTAATTAGATTGCCATTCAGCATCAGCTGCAAGAGCCTGTCGTACTTTAGCACGATGGTCATGATTATCTGAAAAATAGCAAAAAGTCTAAAAGGAAAATAAATAAGTCACTCACGTACTGTTATTGATATGGATATAAGCAATTTTAGCATACTATTAAAAACTTCTTGATTATAATAATGCATTAACTGTTTTAAAATCATTGAAAAAAGAGAATGAAATGCCAAGTCTTATAATAAAATGTAAAGGTAAAATATGAGATATATGGAAGTTATTTCTATTTATAGAATTGATTTAGGTAAATGTTTATTTCAAAACAGGAGACAACCTATGATGAAGTCAAAAGATGTAACACAAATTAATAGAATTTAACCACAAGGAGTATTTAAGTAAAAGGAAACTTTTACCATGAAATCCAAATTATAGTTTCTTAAATACAGCTCATGTTATAAAAAAACAATAGCTTAATTTGAAGAACAGTAAAAATTAAAAAAATTATTTACATTATTACATTTAAAAAAAAAATTTCACTATGCATACATTAGCATAATAAACGGTAAAAATTTTGCAAACAAAAAAAATAAATGCCCATATACTGGTGCTGGTGGTTTGAATTGCAGTTATTACACAGTTTCGGGAAAGGAATTTTTTTAATACAAAACAAAGGAAATATTTCATTTACCGAGGAAGAATATATTCAGCTTTTATTTTAAATAATGCACTGTAAATTTATAGATATCTATGCCTGAAGAAGAAAGCTTTACAAGAGTTTCTAACAATTCTTCTGATGCTCAATACATCATACACCAAAAAATATACAGTTAAACATACACTAAAACAATGGCAATTGCATAACAGGAAAGTACTTAAATACATTACGTCAAAATGATGTTCATTAAGAATTAATTTGGAATTTGGGCAAGCAAAAAAACAATTTCATTGTTTAATCTAGTGGAAAGAAATGTCAATGAAAAAATATATTCCTTGACTGCATTTGAACTACCAAATGCATAAATAAACATAAATAAATTTTAAAATAAAAGCAAAACAGTTATCTGAATTTCTTTTAAATATCAACAACAGCTGTGGCACATGTTGGTTATGTATACTTTAAATTCTGCTGTTCATCTCAATAGCACGTTTTTTACATAGAAATCAGACTTTGTACACTCATACACAATAATATCATTAATACTTACCATACTCCCATATGTGAACTATTTCATTAAGTGCTCCTAATTCAGTGCTCCAAAATCCAAACAGTTTAGAATGTTTAATACGAAGGTGAAAATTGCCTTCAGTAAATTTTATATATTCCTTATAATCTTTTGGACGAACAGTATATATTCTAATTTCATATATCTTCTGTGATTCCTTATTGCCAAAGTATAATCCATCTACTTCAGCATCCCTAGAAGGTGTATTTAGAGGCGGGATTGATAATGTTCTTTTAAAATTAAAGAGAGATTTCAGTGCTGCGTTGCCTTGACTTCGATGTAAGATCTAGAAAAACCAAACATAGTTTTAGAATTTTAAATGTATGAGAACTGATACTGTAAAATACTTTAAAAATTAACCACAAGAAACATTTACAATAAATAAATTTAAATTAAAAACGATGCCTGAAAATAAATTTAGGTACTTTTCCGTTTTGCCGGCGCAGGCGATAAAATCGTCAAGGCTAGACTGGAGATTATGGTCCAGTCACCAAGTGAAGCGAAATTGCACCAAATCTGGTAACCGTTTAAATATGAATCAATGCTTTCTGATCATTTATTGCTCATTCACTGCTTATTACAATTTCTTAAATTTCATGATAAAATGCTTTAATCCATTTTGCTACTGTTTTAAAAATGGTATATGATATTATGAAAACTTTTAATACTGTTGATCCTATAAAATACATAGTTATTAACTTTCAAATACTTTGGGTAAAGTGCAGAATCGCCCACTTATTTGTTTGGCATTTGGAAGAGTAAAAAGAGTTGGATTTCTGTGAATTTTCTTTGACTTTTTAAGTGAAAATAGGTCGATGTGTACATGGATAAAGTCAAGGGAGTGCGCAATGCCATTTTTGTGCAATTCTGGGATGTTTTTTATGTGAAAATCGGTCAATGTGTATATGGATGCTGAGTACGTGCAATTCTTAAAAACGCGCCAAGCAGTGGGTGATTCTGCACTTTCCCACTTTTTCGTTGTTTTTCTTGAGTCCTGTTTTAGATATTTTTGCATGTTTACAGAATAAATTGAAATTGGCAACCATCTAATATGGTGATATAATGAGTTAGCGATTTTCTAAAACGTGCGAAAACAACCGATTTGGCAACTTGGCAATTTTTTGAACACGCGCCAAACTGGACTGTAATATCCAGTTTTACCAGTCGCCAATAATGGTACAACTGACGCCGAACGGAATATCCTCGCTGGTAATCTTTTACGTCTTATTTTCAAAAAAACTCTTATCAGATTGATTGTTTCTTTCAATACTGGCATACAGTTATACATAATTTTTACCAGATAGTTTAATTTTATTCCCTAAGGCAATTTTATGCGGTAATTAAGTCAATTAGGATGCAATCACTACGCTCACCCGATGGCGAAAATATACAAAACTCAAGGGTTAAATTCATCAATTTTAATGAGAATGCACTAGCGAAGTAAAGCACTGCGGTTTTACATAATTTCTAAGTAAGCTATTCACAAGAATTGAAATAATTCTTGCATTTAAACTTGTATTCCAAATTAAGATTTAACTTGAAATTAATGTAGATAATGACTGAGAGAATTAGATTTTTGTAGTGTAGTTTACATGAGATGAGATCACTTGGAGTCACGCGATATGAGCCAGTGAATCAAGCTGTTTTACCATAAAAGCATAGTAAATTCTTAAATTGTCTTTTTAAAAGTTTATTGTCTTTATTTATTGTCTTTTTTTAAAAATTAAACAACATTAAAAAGAAATAAAATAAAATTTCTTAGAACTAACATTTGTCTAAATATTTTATGTGTATACTGTGCATTGTCGCCAATAAAGTCTGCTTGGCGAGATTTGTGCCGGCGAAACGGAAATGTACCTAAATTTATTGTATTTTCTGATTATTCATACCCTCACCAAAAAGCTGAGAACTCACTGCTGACTAATATTTCACCAAGCTAATGGGTGAAAAGCAATAGCCATTTTCAAAATGGTGGCACATTAAGAATTCCATACAAGGACAATTAATCAACAAAATTAAAAAAGCAAGAAGCATTGTTAATAAAACACTTATATTTTTCAAGAAATCTTTTTTTCGTTGTTGTTGTTTTCCCCATACACAATGATCTACTTTAACTTGAAAAACATCAAGGAATCACACACTGACCAAAGTAGACTTATGCATATTTAAGTTGCAAGATAAATACCTTTTTGTGACATCACTTGTTGGCACATGACATTTGCCTCACATTCAAATGCACAAAAACAGCAATTAAATAAAACTATATATCAATAAAAACATCTAAAGGTGCAACATGAAATGCTGAAATTGAAGAAAAAGCTTACACATTGTCAACTGATTTGATGGATTCAGAATACTGTTTGTAAGAGTGCAGCAATGTATTGCTGGGCAGAGGAAATGACATAATTTAGTGCTGAGGAAGCAACTGAGCCTTTCTGAAAATACAACTATTGATTAGTTTTATTTTCATTTAGACAGATGTATTCTTCACATTTAAACTTACAATCAAATAAGCGAATATATGGCCTTTGTTTTCATGTATGCTCTTTAATAGACATACATGAAAATCTATTTGTACAAAGGGAAAAAAAAAATACCAGCAGGGTTATTCCACACTACTGGATATTTGGCAGATTATACAGAGAAACTGACGAATTCATACTTTCTCAGGTTCTAAACAGAAAGGCAATCATATTCATAGCAAAAATTACAGAAGAAAGATCAAAATTTATTCAGAATGTTGGCAATCATATGAAACAGAACTAGAAAAAGCAAGCCATTTTATTATGAGCCGTAAATTTAATTTTGTTGACCCAACAACAGCTGCTCATACACAAAATGTGAAAAGACAGTGATGCTTTATTAAATAGCAGAATAAAAATTGATGAGACCAGTTCCACTATCATCATATGTTTTAACTTGCAGAGTTCATACCGAGTGTCTTTAGGATGAGAAAATACGGAAACTATTCGGTTTTGAGGGCCGTAAAAAATCGCCAAACTATTGTTGATGCCAGTGCTACCAAAAATAATTGCGGCAATCCTAACACAAGAAAGGAAGTATAATAGTAAATAACTATCTAATATTGATGTTTTAATTTAGATGAAAGGTTAATTTAATATAATACTTTTTTATTATTATAATTTATATAAAAAAGGCTAAACATGACTGGATGGAAGTATAAGAGTAAATAACTATTTCAGATAATTTTTATAATTTATATAAAAATTGTTAAACATAACTGAATGGATGCCTGCTTCACTATTTTGCTACCGAGTTATCGCTAAAGCATAGTTTCATCTCGTTGGTTGTTCAAACATAATTTTCTATAATGAATAATGCATTTTCTTCGAAAAATTTCTCGGTAAAGTGCAGAATCGCAAACTTATTTGTTTGCCGCTTTTTACAAGGGTAAAAACAATTGGATTTTTGTCAATTTTCTTTTACTTTTTAAGTGAAACTAGGTCACATTAATAATAGAAAATAGGTACATAGATAAAGTTAAGGGTGTGCGCAATGCCATTTTTGGGCAATTCTGGGATTTTTCTTTTGAAGTGAAAATAGGTCGATGTGCACATAGATAGCGAGTATGTGATATTCTTAAAAATGCATCAAGCAGTGGGTAATTCTGCACTTTACCCAAAATTCTATTGCACACTTTTCGTCATGGGCAATTCCCAAATTATTGAATCCATAGGATATCAAAAAAGAATTTAAAATCAAAAAAGGATTTAAAAATTAAACTAGTATTTCAATGGTGTCTTAAGAAATATAGAACTATATAAATTTACGCAATCTGAAATCAGCGCATGTGCTAGATTTGGCGTGCTGTTAAATGGGCACGCTTGCTAGATTTGGCGCTTTTGCGCATACATTTTCGCTGCAATTTTTTTACGGTCCTCAAAACAGAATACAGTCAAGTCTTTAATCCGGACTCGTCGGGATTTCGGTGATTCCGGATTATCGATTTTTCCGGATTATAGATCATCAGTTTAAATCTGGTAAGATGGCATGCAGAAATTATAAAATTAAAAACATGAAACTGTAATTTATGAAATAAAGAACAATTATGATCTAAAGGGTATCAAAATTTACAAAAAAAAAAGCTTAATATTTATTTGTTTACTTTATTAAACATTTCTTTCAACGCGCGCATGCGTAAAGCATACATTACGCAAAGTCGAAATTAGAAAATTGTAACCAGAAAACTATTTGATGTGTAGCCGTGATATTTATTATGAATTTGATTTAAATCATATCAAAGACAGAGTACATCACGATGAAATACTACATTTAGTAATGAACTATAAGCCGAATAAAAATAAAAACATCTGCCCTGAAGATAAGGATAGTGCTGACAGATTAACTTCCAGTTCATTGTGTGCCACGACGTTCCCCTCCCCCGCAGAGCAGCGTGAAATTGATAAACAGATTTCGGAATGGTTAGAGAAACAAAGGATATGCCTTTATCCACTTTTTGCAGCAATTCCACTTTTTGTTTGATAGGCATCGAAACATACTTTCAATTTGTAGATCCTTTGGCAGTATCCAGCATTGGACATTCTATCTGACATAATCGAAAGTTCAAACTTACTTCTATAAAATTGCTCTAACAGTCTGCAAAAAATAATAAGCCAGATCCAATTCGAAGATTAAGGAACAACGCAATCTGCAACATTAACTAAAATAGATAATTAGATAATTTTAGCTAAGCTTATACCGTCCGTTATACATTAAACGTGCATGCATAAACGCATTATGCGCATGCGTAAAGGTATTACGCACATTATGCGTTGACACATGCGCAGGAAGTTTGTAGCTTTGAGGTCCGGATTATGGGCGTCTGGATTAATGACTTTTAACTGTAGTACCGAAAATACTTCTGATACCATATCAAAAGCAATCGCAGAAACATGGAGTATGTGAGAAGATAATTCTCCCACCCATATGGTATTTAAAAAATACAGGCCGTAATAATAAGTAAGTATCATTCATGCAGAAATGAATTTACTGACTAAGGTTATTTTCCTGCGCCAATTATTGATTTAAAATCAGGGCTTCTGAGACATACGTGCAACAAAAGAAAGGCTAAAGAAAAATCTATTAGTTCGACTCATTGCAAATTAAACTGATTGGAAACTTTTATTCATAATCATGAACAGCACTAAAAACTTATACAAAAAAAAAAAAAAAAAAAAAACTACAGACTTCCACCTTCAGCACACCCACATGGTCAACAAAACTCTTTAGTCAATGTTACAGTTACATATGAAAATTTAAAAACAATAACACAGCAAAAAAAAAAAAAAAAAGTTCTGAAAATTCACACACTTAATTATAAAAAACTGAAGACACATTATTACAGTTATTAACAATGACAAATAATTATTACACTTTTCTTTCATAATTTAAATTGATTTTTTTACCAATTTCTGACAGATTTACTGATTTTTCTGACAGATTTTATTTTTACCAATTTCACCAGGCCACTGAAATGCTCAATTCAAATCCAATGTATTTGACTGGTGCAGCCATCTACTGACAAGATAGTAAAATGCAACGTGTTCTAACATTACTCCCTCACCAGTAACTAAGTTACGATACTTAAATTGCATTGGTAAGGTCAATAATCGAATAACGTGATCACTACATCTCATGATCAAAATGCACTTCACGTATAAAAGAATGAATTTCTAAGCTTGCATCTGGTTCTGAATTGTAAGGTTATAGCAAATTAAAATACAAATAATAATTAAGGTAGCTGGAACTTCAAGATATATCACTAATCTTTTTTGTTCCATGCTGGAAATCCACATTATTGTAGATACCACATTCAATATTCATTATACATTTCATTATTATATCTCAAAGTTAATATATACATACATACTCCATATCTGGGCTTAACTGAACAATTCAATGTGACATGCTTTCAGTGACATGAAAATAGTTAACAACAATGAAAATCTGATCAGTATTACTAAAATTTTCACATTTCATAGCAGGTATTTTAAACACCAAATGCACTTTTCTTATTTTACTCACTCCTGACTGACTCAATGCAACACTGTCCTGAATATACACCTTAGCAACTAATATTCTTTGAAAATTATTAGTTTTCTGAAAAACAGGTATTAGTACTGCATTAAACTGCAGCTGGATAGAAATTATATTTGCTCTAAAGCTCATATATGCCTAATACCAACATGATTAGAATACTACTTATTTACATACAGCTCAAATTCTTAATTTTCAATATACTGCAATCTAACATTAACAAATTAGTGAAAAAGACATATCTCATAATACATAGATATATGTGCACTACACTATATAGCACTGAAATATTCTAACTGAAACAATAATTGTATTTTATAAGATAGCTTCTAAGGAGGTAATGCAGATGTTATGCCTAAGCAAAAACACACTGTATTCCAAAACACAATAATACCAACCCTTACAGCTAATACATGCATATAGAATTTGAAGCAAAAATTTCTAGAACAGTAAAAACAATATGGAAAGTATATCTGAATATATTCATGAACAGTAATATATTGCTCAATATCTACACCACTATGACTCTGGTATATTACAGAAGATACATAAATTAGAAATTATAAAATCAGTATACATTATTGTGAAGGAGATAAATACGATATGACATTAGCCTTAATTGGGGAAGTAGATCATGAATAATAATATTTGCAGTAACAAGAAATAAGAGTTGTGATTTAGTTTTAAGTTCGAAACCTAACAGGAAGTTTTATTTCTCTACCACAACGAGTGTTTGTTGGGAAATTACTATGATGCATTTCCTTTGAGGATCCACCATTGACATCGTCGTCAAGAAGCTGATTCGGTAGTTCTGGCATGCTATCTGCATTCATAAGGTAAGCAGGTTTCAGCCTATCAATAGAGATGTTAACATCTTTTCCTTTAATATGCACAGAATAATACTTATCATGTCTTTCTGCTACAGGAAATGGGCCATCATATGCAGGCTCTAGTGGTTTTTTCACCCGATCAACTCGAACGAACACATGAGTACAGGTCCTTAAATCTCTATGTACAAAAACTTTTTGATAAGATTGACATGTATCTGCAGACTTCATTGGCTTTACTAGGGCCATCTGCTGCTGAAGATTGTACACAAATGTGTCAGGTTCAACGTGGACACTGGGTTTTTCAAAAAATTCACCAGGAAGCCTGATATTGGTACCATATACCATTTGAGCAACAGAATAGTTTGTACCATCTCTGATAGCAGCTCTTAAACCCAACAAAATAGTGGGTAGCATATCACTCCATTTTACATTATTGTGAGCTTTTATTGCAGCCTTTAGTGTCCTGTGAAAGCGCTCTATTTTCCCATTACATTGGGGATGATAGGGCGTTGTATGCAGAAGTTTAGCACCACAAATAGCAGCAAGATTTTTAAACATTTGGGAGGTAAACTGGCGACCTTGGTCAGTTACAATACACTGTGGCACTCCAAATCTGCTCACCCAATGGTCATAAAAAGCTTTACTCACCAGTTCTGCAGTGATCTCTTCTAATGGAACTACCTCCATCCAACAGGAAAATCTATCAATGCATGTTAGACAGTAAATTTTACCATTAGATGGTGGCAAAGGCCCAATCAAATCAATATGGATGATGCTAAATCTGGCATCAGGTTCTTGATATGTACCAAAGGTCGATTTGGTGTGTCTTGTTACTTTAACTTTCTGGCACTGCAGACAAGCTCTAGCCCAATCACTTGCTTGTTTCTTCATCCTGGGCCATACAAATCTGGCAGTTATCTGTTTTACAGTGGATCTGACACCAGGATGTGCAAAACTATGGATATGATCAAAAATTTTCTTGCGAAAACTTTGAGGTACATATGGGCGAATATTGCTAGCTGAAGTATCACACCATAGGACATTTTTAGATTGTAGTACATATTCCTTGAAAATTAATGAGGTGTTACTTGCAATTAATTCTTTCAACTCAGGGTCATTCTGTTGTGCCTTTGCAATTTCTTCATAATCAATTACAGATATCTCTTCAATTCTGGAGAGAGTATCTGCTACAATATTGTTCCTTTCCACTAATGTGCTGTATATTTGTAGTAAACTGGGAGATGTACTGTAACTGACGCAGCTGCCTAGGTGAAGCTTTATCATTCTTTTGCTTGAATGCAAAAATCAGTGGTTTATGATCAGTGAAAATTTGAAAATCTCGTCCTTCCAGCATGTATTTAAATTGCTTCACAGAGAGATATATTCCAAGCAATTCACGATCATATGTACTGTATTTTCTTTGAGCCCCATTTAGCTTCTTTGAATAAAAATGCAACTGGTTTCCAGTTACCATCTTCATACTGTTGCAAAACTGAACCAATTGCCCAATCTGAGGCATCAGTGCACAGAGATAATGGACATTCAGACTTTGGATAACTTAAGAGGGCAGTATTAGCCAAGTCAGTTTTGCACTTCTCAAATTGCTTTATGCTTTCTTCAGTCCAAGGTACTTTACTTTTATCTTTTTTCTTTGCTCCCTTAAGCATTTCATGTAGCATGGCCTGGGTCTGCGCTGCATCTTTCAAGTACCTCCTATAAAAATTTACCATGCCTAAAAACGTTCTTAAGCCATGAAGAGTGGATGGCAGTTCATAATCAAGAATAGCTTTAACTTTGTTTGGCAGAGGTTGCGAACCAGAAGGCGTAATGAGATACCCCAAAAATTCAATTTCTTTAACTCCAAATACGGACTTTGACACATTTAAGCATAGGCCATATTTATCAAGCCTTTCGAAAATTAAGCTCAGATGTGTTTTATGCTCATCCTCAGATGACGAGGCGATTAAAACATCATCAAGATAAGGAAAACAGAAATCAAGCCCTCGAAACACCTCGTGTACAAATCTTTGAAAGGTTGAGGGAGGGGGCATTTCGGAGACCAAAACTCATAACGTTAAACTCGTACAGTCCAAATGGTGTAATAATGGCTGTTTTTGGTTTATCCTCCTCAGCTATGGGTATTTGATAGTATGCTTTGAATAGGTAATTTTGATTTGAAAAATTGTTTTCCCACTCAAGATTAAATGAAAATCCTCAATCCTAGGAATCGGGTATCTGTCCGGAATAGTCTGCTCATTCAGACGTCTATAATCACCACAAGGTCTTAAAGTTCCATCTTTCTTTGTAACCAGATGCAGAGGACTAGCCCACTGTGATTTAGATGGCCTGATTATACCATTGTCTAACATGAACTGAAACTCTTGTTTTGCCAAATTCAGTTTCTTAGCATCAAGCTGCCGAGCACGAGAGAGTAAACTGGCTGTCCTTTTGTAGCAATATAGTGCTGGACCTTATGTTTCACTTTGGTGTTCAATAAATTGGGCTTCGTAATACCAGGGTACTTTCGCAACAGCTCAGAGAATTTTACAGAATTGCTCACTGTGCTAATCGCAGTATTTTCAGTTACTGACATTACATCACTATGTACAAACATATTTGTCACACCATCAATTAATTTTCTCTGGCGAATGTCAAGCAGTAAGTGAAACTGATTCAGAAAATCGGCACCTAAAATGCCTCTGT